AATTGACTGATGAAGATAGTAGAGATGAAAACTGTAGAGGAACATTCAATAACTTTACTTTCAATTCAATAACTAACAAAAATATGTTGGACGCGGAATCAGAATCTGTAATTCATTAAGAAGAAGAAGAGAAAAGGATTGATAAATAAAATATAAACGTATATAAAAAGAGGCAGATCTTTAAAGTGTATCACAAATTCAGGAATATATGAAAGATATTGTCATGGTGAGAGAAATAGAGACACAAAATGAAGAAATTCAAGTTATTTAAGTAGCATCTACTGAAATTCGTGCAGAAAGTGTAACTCTCCTAATACGGAAGTGAATTCAAGGAGATTTACCAGATGAAAATTCCCTTTATTTGGATATTCATCATTATTGCGTAGCGCTACAACCCTGAGTGGGTCTTGGCTGACTATACAACTTTTTTCCAATTTGTTCAGTCTTCCATCAACCTAGAGTCAAATGGAATGTTCATTTTCCGGAGATCTGCTTGGATGTTATCTCTCCATCGCATTCTGGAACATCCGAGTGGTCTTTTGCCTGTAGAGAATCTCCTTCCATACCAATTTTACAAGTCTCTCGTTATGCAGTCTGTGCACGTGGCATTCCCATCTTAGTCGCTGTGATTTAATTTCTTGAATAATATCAGCGTCATTGTAGAGTGCTCTATTCGATATTGGTTCTGATCTTTTACTGGTTTGTGATGATGTCATGGTGAGGTCCGAAAATGTTTCTAAGTATGTTTCGATCAAAGCGTCTGAGCTTTTCTTCGTTTATTTCCGGCATAGTCCACGTTTCGCATCCGTATGTTATTACAGGTCTCACGATGGATTTATAGATTTTGATCTTTGAACTTCTTGTAAGATTTTTTGATTTTATGAGCTTATCCAGTGCGAATAGACAGCGTTTTGCAGATTGGATTCTGTCTTTTATTTCTTCAGTAACATCATTGTCAGCTGTGATTACGACCCCCAGATACTTAAAACGTTTTACTCTTTCGAAATTGAAGGTGTTGATTGTCACATTTTGTTGTCTTCTTTTCTTCGTGTCGTTCTATTTATACACATATATTTTGTCTTCTCCTTATTAATATTCAGCTTTACTTCACTTGTTGCTCCTTTCACCTTGTTGAAGATGTCGTACGTGGATAGGATGGTGTCTCCAACTAAACCTATGTCATTAGCTTGGGACCTTAAACCGATAGCAATTATTTTTTTGATTTCGGCCGACCTCATGGCTTTCTCTAATACAAGGTTGAAAAGTAGTTTACATAACGCATCACCCTGTTTGAGTCCAGTGTTGAGTTCAAAGCTGCCAGACAGTTTAATATTTACACGTACTTTAGATATTCCACCCTCCATACAGACTTTGGTCATACGAATGAGTTTCTTTGTTGATCTATTGTTGATCTGTTTGCCCCAAAACCGGCTTGATATCCACCTAGGACAGTTTCAGCATAAAGGATTAGTCTACTAAGAGTAATGTTTGAGAGGGATTTATATGCCATGTTTAGGAGTGAAATTCCTCTATAATTCGCGCATTTTGTTTTGTCACCTTTTTTGTGGATGGGCATTATTATGTTTTCCTTCCATGTACTGGTACTCTTTCTTCTAACCATTTGTGCTTTATTAGCTGGTGGATTTGGCGATGTAGTGCGTCTCCCGCATATTTCAGAAATTCTGCTGGTATCTCGTCTGTACCCGACGCTTTGGGATTTTTCAGCTGATTTAAGGCCTTTTAGGTTTCTTCAAAGGAAAAATTGTTTATGGGCATGTCCGCTATGATATAGATCTCTTCTTTGTGTTGTTCTTTCTGTATGATGTTTAGAAGGTCCCTAAAATAATCTTTCCATTCTTCAGTTCTTCAGCTTCTTTATCGTCGATTATTATACGGCCTTGATTCTCTCTCAGTGTATGGATAAAATTGTTTCTGTGTCCTCTTCTCTCAGAGGAAATTGCTTTATAAAATTCTCTGGAGCCTGGTTTGTGCCAGTCTCTCTTCATAGCTTTATATTTTAGTTGTTCATAGTTTGTTTTCTTTGCGCGTATTATTTTTTTTTGTTTCTTTTTTTTTAGTCCTCCTTTGTACTTTGGTCTGTTTGCAGTTGTATCCAAGTCTTCCTTATTGTTTGTCTTTTTTCCAGCTGTTTCCGACATTCCTCGTCATACTATGTTTCTGCCCTCTTCTGCCTACTCCTTCCAAAGATCTTGTCGATTGTCTTGGTCTCTATAGTTTTGTTGTTTCTCTGTATTATGCATTTCGTCCATGTTCTATTGTGGGTTTATTGTTGTTTTATTGTATTTGTGGCTACATACTCTGAATTTGACTTTTGCTTTGACTAAGTAATAATTTGTGTCTCCGTTTATTTCTCTCAGGCTTCTTACGTCTATAATATTGTTCCCATGACGAACATCTACAATGATGTGGTCAATTTGGTTGCGTGGTATATGATCGTTTGAGACCCAGGTTTGCTTATGGATGTCTTTATGCAGAAACACGGTTGATTTTATTAGTATATTATTAGCTGCTGCAGTTTCTGTGAGTCTTAAGACATTGTCGTTGGATGTATTGTGGAAGCTGTGTTTACCTATTATGGGGTATAGGCTAGCCTCTTTGTCTATTTTAGCATTACAGTCCCCACAGAGTATATGCATATCTTGTTTGAGCATCGTATCTATCTCTCTTTCTAGGGCATCGTAGAAGTCATCCTTGATATCTTCATCCTTCTCTACCGTTGGTGCATGCGCTGAGATTATCGAAATGTTGTATCGTTCTTCCTTCATTCGTATATAGCATATCATTTCGTTTATAGGTTTGAAATTTAGTATATTCTATACTAGGCTGTCTCTAATCACAAAGCCTGTTCCAAATATATGTCTTTCGTTTTTGTTACTATTGAAGAAGATGGTGGGTTTACTTATTTTTATATTTCCATCGTCTGGCCATCTTATTTCTTGGACTGCTGTTATATCCATTCCTATGTTTTCCAGTTGTTCCACAGCATTTATAGCAGCTCCAGGTCTGTACCAACTATGGACATTCCAAGTTCCGATATTCATAGTCCTTTTACATTGCGTTTGTTGTTCTTTGTGTTTATCTGTATGGTTCCAAGGGAAAGTTGCAGTTTTCATAACTAGTTTCTTTTTTCGAGGGTGGGTAGTTAACCCTCCGCTCAACCCTCCGCTTTTATGGAACCGGCTGCAGTACGGTGGTTTCCGATCTACTTAATCCACCTATGGTAGGCTGAGAAACGGCTGAGAGAAATTCTCTCTCCTGTTGCCGACAAGAATATAGAGCGTAGAATAATTTTTAATAATTTTAAACTGTTTGTCGTTGTGCTAATGTAGTGTTATGTACAAATTATGTCCAATTTTATGTTTATTACATTCTGCGCTTGCTGGATAGCCCAAATTTGACGAAAATCCCCTGATGATGCTGTAGATAGCGAAAGTACTTGGGCAAGATTTGATTATTAAATTTGTGCTCGATATTTGCCTTAATTTTTCAAAGTTCATTTATTCGAGCATTTAACCTCATATCAATTATATATTGTATATTGTATCAATTTGTATATTGTATACAATTTGTATTTGTATATTGTATATTGTATATATATACAATATTGTATATTGTATCAATTTTCTTACCAAATTATTCTTTTTCTTCTTAGCCTTCTGTCGTCCATGTTTGGACATAGGGTCGTCCTCTCCCAACTCCTTCCATCGGTCTCTATCCTGAGCAACATAATTCCAATTTGTTACGGCTATTCTTTTAATGTCATCAACTTATCTTATCTGTGGTCTTCCTCTTGGTCCTTTACTTTCGTAAGGTCTCCAATGTTGTATTGTAGTATTTCAACGTTGGTCTTTCTGTCTAGCAGTGTGGCCCGCGAAGCCCCATTTAAGTTTGGCAATTTTTGTTGTTACGTCCTCGATTTTTGTTTTGGATCTTACCCAGTCGTTTCTCTTTTTATCTGACAGTCGTATACCTAACATTGCTCTTTCCATTGTTCTTTCTGTTGTGGCTAGTTTATTTATGTTTGCCTTGGTTAGGGTCCAGGTTTGACATCCATATGTCATGATAGGAAGGATGCATTGGTTGAACACTTTGCTCCTTAAGTATTGGGGTATTTTGCGGTTCTTAAGTATTCAACTAAGTTTTCCCAATCCTGCCCATGCTAGTCTTGCTCTTCTAGTAATGTCCGCACTTTGGTTCTCTTTTTCAAGTCTCAGGATTTGGCCTAGATAGATATATTCCTGGATTTGTTCTATCTCACTGCCGTTTATAGTTATATGTCTAGGGTCTTCTGTGTTTGTCATTATTTTTGTTTTTTTTTTCATATTCATTTTTAGGCCAACGTATTGGGAGCTGGCTGCTATTTCCCCCAACATAATTTACAGTTCCTCGAATGTGCTCGCTATAATCACTATGTCGTCAGCGGATCTGAGGTTGACCAATTTGTAGTTTTGAAGACGTCTTCTAGGGCTAGGTTGAAAAGCTTTGGCGATATTACATCTCCTTGTCTCACTCCTCTCTTAATGGGGATGGGATTTGTATTTTTGTCTAGTTGTACGATCATAGTTGCATTTTCATATAATATTATGTATTAGTTGCCTATATCTCGAGTTTATTCTACAATTATTAAAGCATGTTCTATGGCCCACATCTCGATACTATCTAACGCCTTACCTAATTAATGTTACTTAATTAAGGTTATAGTATTCGTAAGGTTATAGTTGTAGTTTGTGTTGAAAAAAAATTGTTAAAGCAAAAAAACAAAGTTTGTTTAATTTACTCATGTTTGTATTTTGGGAACTATTTACGAAGTGAAAATTGAAACGTCAATAAACGTACTTTAACCTTTAATTGTGGATTGTTTCCATTTAAATATTAATTAATTCATTTTGTAAATTAGCCATATTAACTCTTCGCTTACCTACATTTTCTGAAAATTTCTTATTTTTCATCTACTAAACTTGTGTATCTAATGTTGTAAGATGCTTCATAATAATCCATTGTGTCATCATAAAGTAAATATATTTTCTATATTAAATAGACTTTTATTATAGATTAAACTTTAATATTAACGAAAATATGGAAGCCTTTGATCATTATACTATAATCTTCGTTACACGAAAATTTTACAGAGAGATAGTTTATATGCACATTCTCGTCGAGCTTAATAAAAGCTTTACTAATTCCTCGTTAAATATGTAACAACAATCAACCGTTTTCTATTAAAATGGAAAACTGATGGATAGAAAAATAAAATACGACTTCCGATCGAAGTTTTGTTTGAAGATAAAAGCAGTTAATGGATAGGGAATATAAAAAGCTCTGTACTTATTAGAATATATTTCCATTACCCGCCCTTGGTACTTTTATGGTTTATTATTTTTTATTTAATGTAAATTTTATAATTTTCTACGGAAACTTTAACTTTAAAACATAAAATTTTATGTGCTAAGTTTTTGTAACAAATAAATATATTTGTAGTACTCCAAAGACGTTAAAACATATAAAGTTTCTTTTTTAATGTGCTTGGCTACTAAGGCCACTTACACAAGGACGATAGCAAAAAGATGTTACAATAAGTCATGGACGTATAAATAAAGAAGGACCGGGCTATTTACATCTGTATTTGAAGCCATGAGATCGTCACAGTCATAGACACAATTGACGTTGTCATATTATTTTTTTTTCCAAGCGAATCTTCGAAATAATTTTCTATTTTTAGTATAATTTAATTTTAATTTATAGATAAAAATGTATTATTTAGTTATTATAAACTATTTTTAGATATACTCATTTCGAAACCAAGGAATTAAAAGAAAAACATTAATTTTTTAATTTATTAAAAGAAAATATATTCTGATAATGTTAACTTTATGTAAAACTTGGCATTATTAGTAATATTAACCAACCGTAGTGATTTGAGAAAAAGGAATATGGCGTTGTACTGTTTACCTTTGAGTTGATATTTTCCTTTTTTGTGACATTTTAGTGAATTTGTTAATATTTTCATCCAGAACTGTCATTTCGTTCGTAAGTAAACATTGGAATTACGTCCATGAGCGTAGTACAGGGATGTGATATTACTTAATTCTTGACATGAAGTGAAATTAAATTTTGTGAAATAAAGTAAATTTTGTCGTATTATAAATACATTTATTTATTTTTTCTAATCTACACTATAATTGCTATAAATATATTAATTTCAAAGAAATATCATATGCAGGTTCCCAGTAAAGAATCAACAGCTGCTAGATATGTGGTTGTCTATGTTCGGCTTAAATAAAGAACAAGTAACCAAAACTGCTATGGTCTGCTCAGAACACTTTAGAAAGCATGATCTAATTATGCAACCAAGTGGACGGGTTAATATGAGGAAAGGAACTGTTTCAATAAATATTTATCATAAATTATCAGAACTAAGGTAACTATAACGAATTTCTATGTAATTTACTATACAGAGTATAATTAATATAATGCACACGCATAGCATATTAATTCAATGTTTCAGTTCTACAAACGATATGGAAAATAATGAAACAACTTCCAGTAGTATTGATATGGATGATTTTTATGGACCGTCAAAAAGGTGAGTTTGGATCGAATTTGTTAATTAAATTTACAAATAAATCTAAATGTGGATTTTAATTACTTATTTCATTTTAATATTAAAATTACTCACAGTATTTTAGGAGTTTCATTGATACTGAAAAATGTAATATGGAGACAGACTTGGGCCTTAATGTAAAATCTAATTCTCCTAAAAAAGAGGTGAGTTTTGGATAAATTTTGTATAAGATTATTTCAATCTTAAACCAATTTTAATATTTTTCTTTAATGTACATAAATTGATTATTCTAGATGTTTAAGTGACAATGAAGAAAACAAGGAAAGTATAGATATAGAAAATGCACCTTCGAGCACCATTACAGCATCAGAAACTGAAACTGTATAGTTGTTACTTGGTGATAATACTTTTCATATGTTCCACGTAATATTTATAAAAAGTGAGTTCTTAGTTTAATTTATAAAAACCAGTATTATAACTATGAAAACCTAATTATATATTTTAGAAATAAAACCATTGAAGACATGTCTAACAGCGATTTTTCAACACATGAAAGGATCAAAAAACATTTTAGAGTGTTAAAAAATACTGTTAAGAGTCAAAAAAGTAAAATAAAGTATTTACAACAATATGTAAGAAGAATAAAAACAAAAATTACATAAGATACTTTCTTTTAACATGAATAAGACAGTAGCATTATCCTATAAAGGAGCTCTTCAAACCTTGCTTCTAAATAACAGCCAGATCAGTATCGTTGTTTCTTTAAAATTTCATGGTATTTTTACAGACAGCAACCTTAAATGGTCCCTTTATATCAATTTGTTAAGTAAGAAACTAATCTCAGCCAGCTATGCAATACGATCTGTTTCGAAGCTGAATTTAGCATCTTCCAAAATAACATATTTTTCTTTGTTCGAGTCTCATCTTCGATATGGTCTTCCTTTTTACGGTTCTAGTACAGCTACCCAATATAATGTTATTTTTAAATTACAAAAAAGAGCAACACGGTATCTTTTTGGCCTCAGTAAAATAATACATTTTAGAAGCTACATAAAAAATCACGGGATTTTAACTTTTCCCTCTTTGTATATTCTAGAAACTATTTTCTTAATTGGTAAATACCTACATGTTTTTTCAGCAAGACCCAATCATGAATTTTCCACCAGAAATTCAACCTTTGATATGTATTTATCGATTTCGTCCACTGAGTTAGTAAATAAATCTATATTATATTCGGCAAAAAAATTATACAATTAATTCCCTTTGCAACTGAAATCTACAACTTCTTTCCTTAAGTACTGTAAATTAACAAAAGCCTATCTATCTGAAAGACCATATTATTCAGTGGAAGAGTTTCTTAACGAGAAATTAAGAAATTACAATACGTTTAGGTACAAGCAACTAAAGTATTATATATTTGGGTATCAAATGCAGCAACTAAAACTTATTCGTAAACTCCTAAGGTTTTATTATGCAATTTGCAATTTAGTTAGATTTTGCAATGAATTGTAAATTTTATTATCTTTTATTATATGACATTGACCATTTTTGTAATTTTAGTAAATTTTAATTGTTATTGTTATTTTTTTTACTTTTTGTAAGTTTTGTTCATAAAATTATACAATTTTCAGTGACAATAAAGCATATTTCTATTTTAGAAACCTACCCCATCCATAAACCCCATTGTTAAACGATAGTTTATGTTTTCTTACTTTTATTATTATTTTCTTAAATACATATTCCTGAACTTTTATCTTTCTTCTGCCTACTGCTATGTCTAACATGACTTCTAATGTTGCCAAATAACAATTAATCTGGAGTTAAAAACCATAATTCACTGCATTTTTTCAACGTATCACTCACTGGATAAGAGAAGAACTACTCAATACCCTGAACAGGTTAATGTATGGGGAAGAATTTTTTAAACTTTTTATTGCTTGTGTATTATTTTAGTTTAAATAAAATATTATATAAAGTACCTTGCAATTTTATTTACCCCATCTTTATTCTTTTGTATAAATGAATTTTTATAAATATATTTATTTCTATACACTGAAAATTAAAATTATTCATCGTTCGTTGTTTCTCACTTATTCGAAATATTTTATATGTTTACGATACTAAAAATAAAAGCAATCAAACCAATAGTCATTATTTATTCAAATCAAAAAACTGTTTCAAATACGTTTCAATTATTGGAAGGTACGCCGATGACTTAAAAGGAAATGTCACAATCTATCACCTCGCCTCTTTCCCCGCGCCTATAAACTTTTCGACTTCAAATTTAGACGAACAGAGTGCATGGCATGCCCAGTCCATCTTTATTTATACGTCCATGCAATAAGTAAAATACAGTAAGGTCATGTTGGAAAGACAGAAAGACTTGATATCGATATACTGGGATGCAGTGAGGTAACATGGCCAAATACAGGTACCTGTGTGATGGGCAACTATACAGTATTCTATTTTGGAAATGAAGGCACTCAAAATAAAAACGGTGTAGCAATAATTACATCTAATGAAATTGCAAAATTAGTTTCTGGATTACTACCAACATCAAATAGAATAATGCTAATAAAAATAGACAGCAAACCAGTCAATATGAATATTATCCAGGTATATGCCCCAACTAGTCAAAGCACAGAAGAAGATACAAAGAACAAATTTACGAAGACCTAAACAAAACTCTACTGCAGACAAAGAAGTATGAAACCAACATAATATTAGGAGAAAAAAATGAGAAATTGTGAATGTGTTGTGAATGAATTGTGTTTCGAAACTATTTTACGAATATTAGGAGACTCTAACGCCAAGATCGGAAAAGGAAGAGAAGATGACACGGTCGGGGAGTTTATCCTCGGAATAAGAAATGAGAGGGGAGATAGACTGCTTCAATTCTGTAAAGAAAATCAGTACAGTATAGTGAACAGCTTTTTCAAGTTACCACCCAGACGTCTCTACACGTGGAAATCTCCAGCAGATGGAATAGAAGGACGCATCACAATCAAATCGATTACATAATGGTCAACAAAAAAAAACGCAGTAAAAGCATGCAAGACATACCCCGGAGCTGACATCCCCACCGACCACAATCTTCTTCTTGCAACAATTAGGATAGAATTTAAAAGAACAAAAAGAAATAAGCAAATAATAGCTATTAACCCAGATAAGCCCAAAGAAGAATCCACTAGTAATAAAATACGGGAAGAAATAATTAAATAGTATAACTACTTAATTAAATAGTATAATTAAATAGTATAGCTACTTAATTAATAGTAATTAAGTAGCGAATTTTGGTAACCACATGATTTTAATTTATTTTATCTTAATTAATCTTAATAAACTAGAAAGCGACAACATTTTTGAATGGAGAATTGAAAAAACCTTTCAAACGATATATCACAAGCCTATACTTCCTATTTTAAAAATTGTGGGTTGTACCTGTCATTCTAGGGGGTTAAAGGTAGAGGTTGCATTTTTACGTTAAAGAATGTCAAGTTATAATTTAAATTTGACGTGTTTCGGGATTTTTTATAAATATGTACAGTAACCTAAATAATGAATTTATTCCATTTGGCTTTTACACACTGTATATTCTGATTTGTATTATTTGCATCAAACTATTTCAAAAAAATATTGTGTGTGTGTGCTGTCGATTTCCTTTGACTGTGGACTTAACAGAGCGTAGGAGCAAAATTTCGGACCAATGCTTTTTAAATGCATTAATTTTTTTTTAATACTGAGAAAACTAAGTATTTTTTAAAATATAAACGCAAAATGAAATATTACATTATTACCGAGGGCCGAAAGTCTCTGAAAACTGCTATAATGTTTATTTTAGTGAGTTACAGGGGTGAAAAAGATGAGAAAATTAAGTGTGATTTTTAATTTCAAACAACTCATTAAAAAAAAAACTTTTTGTTTATTCTAAGTGACTTTAGGCCCTCAGTAATAATGTAATCTTTTATTCTGAGTTTAAGTTTTTTAAAAATATTTATAAAATTATTTATTTTCTCAGGATTCGAAAAAAATAAATGCATTTAAAAAGCATTGGCCCAAAATTTTGCGCCTCTTCTCTTATTAGCCGAACCAAAATTATTCTTATATGATATCTTTTATATTCATTGCGAAAAAATATTATTCGTAAAAATTTAATCACTTCATACACATCTTCACAATCTTAATCTACAATCACTTTTCTAAACATTATTTTCTATTCCAGATAGTAGATGGAAATGCCAAAACGGACGTGTCAAACCGTAAAGAGCCCGGAATATTTTGCGGCGAAAGCGAGCAGCCCCAGACCTTTATGTCCGAAACGTCTTTTGTCAAAGTTCTCTTCCATGTAGAAAATTATACAGATCAGACATACCTTAGTTTTGATACCAGAGCCGAACAACAACTAGTAGTATATTTGAGATACGGACAACATCCAGAACTGTATCCTAACAGAAGAGGGGAAGTTGTTCAAGGGTAAGTTTCTAGTTTTAAATTGAATTTAATGTTTTGTTAAAAGAGTGTTTATTTAATGCGTGATTATTGTGGTTTTACATAAATTTGAAATATTTTAAACAATGTCACAATAATAAAAAAAACTAGCATATGTTCCACACTTACGATGTTATAGGTAACTAAGATAAAAATATATTATTATTTAACAGCTCAGTCATAGACATCGATCTTTGACTTTTGTAACAAACTTTACTAAAATATAATTATTCTGTTCATATTTGCCACTTTCTGTAAAGGTGGCAAATTTAACGGAACTGGCATAAACGATGTCTTCATCGGATTCCGAAGTTTCACTCTGTGGTAACTCCGCATTCTTCTTAGTAGTAGGAATAGTCTTTTAAATGTTTCTTTGTATCTTATTTGCTTGCAACTTCTGTTGTTTTTGTTTTCTGGATAGAGTTTCTTCTTTAATTTGTTTTTTCTCTGGTGTTACTGTTAAAACTCTAGATGTAACCTATGTTCGTGCTCTAATATTTTTTCTCGAGGCAGTCTTTGCGAAAGGTCGTACAATTTCAGGTATTGCTGTGGTTGATGTAGATGGAACAACTTCAATTTCATGTGCTACTGGGGTTGATGTAGATAGAACAGCTTCTGTTGAGTTGTTTGCATTATTTCCTGGGGTCACCCGAAAATACAAGACGGTTTAGGGGCCAAGTGCCGGTTTTTCTAAAACCTTTAATTATATTCTTCATAATAAATGAAGAAGTGTATGCAGTATTTGTAATAGCACTGTCCTGTAGCCTATCCTATATGGTAATTGCTCGATCAGGATGCATTATAATCCATTCGTTTATAGCAAAGGCAAGTTTTGATTTAAACGACGAATAAACTGCTACATCTAGCGGTTGAAGGCGAGGTGAGGTGTGGGTTCGAAAAGTCTTCTTCTTTGAGTGCCTCTCCTATCGGAGATTGGATATTATTATGGCCATTCTAATTTTAATAACTGCTGTTTTGAATAATTCGTTAGTGGTACAGCCAAACCACCCTCTTAAATTTCTCATCCAGGACATTCTTCTACGGCCTGGATTTCTGCGTCCTTGGATCTTTCCTTACATTATATTTTGTAGGAACGTGTACTTTTATCCTCTTATCAGGTGGCGTAAGTATTCAAGTTTTCTCTTTTTTATATTCATAATAACTTCTGGATCGTTCTTTATTCTGCGTATTACCTCTTCATTTGTAATTCTATCTACTACACATCTAGTTGGCAAAGTAACTATTACTGTACCATTGTCACGTACAAACATCATGGATTCAAGTAAACGATGAGCTTCGTGATTTTCCATCAATATTAAAATTGGGGATTTAGAAGAACACTGTGTAGAACGTGAGACATAGTTCCTTGATAATCCATCCAGAACTAAGCCAAACCCAGGCCTAAAGGAAGCTTCAGTCAACATTGTATCATACAAACGTGCTCTTGAAAATACAATAATGCATTAATTATCCCATACATACTGATTAGGGTGCCTCTCGCTGCTGAAACTATCTGCCCAACTTGTTTGGTTCCCTTTTGCGTTACAATATTCGAAGGTTACAGAACAGTTCTGATACCAATTTCGTCTAAGTTATAGATCCTGTCAAGTTAAGAATCGTGGGTGGAATGAGCACGTTGACCAAAATTGAAATTGTCCAAAAGTGTCACACAACATTTTCTTTTGTAAAACTGGTAGCTCAGCTAAGGCTGGTGTTGTCGGGTTTCCTTAATGCCAAATTGTATTGCTTGTTTTTGATTTGGGGAAATTTAAATTGGGGAATTTGAATTGTTCAAATCCATCCCACGTTCAAAAGTGCCCCATCCTCCATTATACATTTGGCAGAATTTTTACAACCTATTTAATTTTTTGTATCTGGTATTTCAATAATCTGGTATATGCTTGATATACGAGGGAGATTCTCCACTAATATATACTTGATACACGAAGTACTTGTCCAGCGTTGTATAGATTAGTAGCTCTCCAAAATATCCTAAACGAAGTAGATAAATACAAAATAGATATAACTGCAATACAAGAAATGAGGTTAGGTTAGGTTAGGTTAGGATGTGTTTAGAGCAGCAAGTTCTAAAATAAAAATAGCCATTATGATTGCCAACCTCCTTAGGGAGACAGCACTCTAAACTAGAGAACAGACTTAATTAGGAAATATAAATAAGGAGTGAGAAGAGTGCAGAAATATCATGAAAGAAACAGCTGAAGAACTACTAGGCAAGGAAGCTAAACAAAGAAGAACAAGAACGAAAGACTGACACAATATAATAAAAAGCACAAACCCAGCATATTAACTAATGCAACAGGGGCACAGAACCGAGAAGCAGAGAAGGAATATAAACAACTATATAAAGAAGAAAAGAAACTTTACTAAAAAAAGCAGAGAGAAAATATGAACACAGAACTTTAAGAACTACAAGAACCAAGTAAGCTAACAGAGAGAAAAAAGTTTTATCAGAAACTAAACTAAAGCTAAAAATAATTCTAACCGAGAACAACGATGTGTAAAGGTAAAGAGGGTAGTATATTGACAGAATAGCAAAAAGTACTAAGAAGATAGTTAAACAATTTTAAGGAAAAGCTTAAGGGAGATGGAAGGCGAACACTGATATACTATTAGACCAAGCAGACAACAAAAAAAGAGTTCTTCAATAATAGCCGAGATTGGCACAGCCGTAGACAATTTTTTTTTATTTAAAAAATGTGTCTCAGCTGCAATGACCATTGACACAAACAATATTGTGTGGAATAATTACAAAAAGCACATGTTACTAATTGCTACAGTTCCTATAAAGTTACTTAGAACTAAATACCTATGACTAAATAATACAACAGTTTTATCAGTAAGTTATAAGTTAAAGATAAAGTATATGGGAAACAAGGGTCATATTCTGTTGAACAATAGAATGTCTCTCAAGAACCAATCAGGTTACAGATTTCATCGGGTGAGTTTAGTGTTAACTTAAGTTTGTGTTGCACTATGTGTTTTGCGTACCGGGGACACTCGATCAGGATGTGTATCACAGTTAATACACTTGAGCAGATTTGGCAATTGGGCTTCGGCTCCTCGGCCTTCATTAAGTATTCATGCCTGAGTCGGGTATGTCCTATTCTGAATCTTCGGACGACAGCTTTTTCTCTTCTAGAAATTGTTGGAAGTTCAAACTTTTCAGCAGTCTGCTGAATCTCATGTAATGCACTCTTGATTGTGTTCCAGTGGGTTTGCCAGGCATGATACTGTTGTTGCTTGAATATTTACTTTAGGTCATTACGGATTTGAGTATGTTGGGCTTTTGAGGATTGACTGTTTACACAAGAAGCTCGCTTGACTGCTTGGTCTGCTTTTTCATTACCGGAGATGCCGATATGGGATGGTAGCCAGATGATCATGATATCTACACCTTGAAAAGCGAGTGTACTGTAAGTCCTATGGATTTCCTAAACTAAGGGATGCACATATTGCTTGGTTTTAATCTTCTTTTTAGTTTTTCAAAAGCTTCTATTATCGCATAAAGTTCTCCAGTGTATGCGCTGCATAAATTCGGTAAAAAAAGATGATTTTATTATTTCATCATATGTGGTAACAGCACATCCAACGCCTCCTTCGCTTTTGGAGGCATCTGCATACAGAATTTTTTGGAATTGGTTCCTGCTTATGATTTTTTCGAAATGTTGCCTTATGAGAAAACTTGAGGTTTCATGTTTACTGTATTCTAATAGAGAAGTGATTGAATGTGGGATTGGTCTATTCTGAGGCGGAGTATCAGGGATTGAGAAGGATATAGTAAGGTCGATGGTTTCTATCCAGAAAGTTAATTTCTGGATGGGTAGACAAATTAAAGAACCAGAAAGGTTTGACTTTGAATAAGCAGTTAATAACGGAGTAGAATAACGGTATTATTGTACCAATAAAAAGAATTTGGACCATTTAGAATATGGAAAATACCGTGGAATGAGTCAGTTGAACTTAGTTTGTTATACAAACTGAAACAGAGAAGTGTAGGACACTTCTTCCTGGAAAAAAGTATAAAATAAAGGAGGGGAAGAAAACACATAAACACCAAAATCGCTTTATCTAAAAATAAAACTTTATATATCAATTTGTGTTTACCCAAAAACGTTAATTGATTTACAGTTGGTAGAAATGTCATTTTTAAAAAAATATTTACAATTAGCTCCTTCGGTAAAATATAGAATGGGAAAGGAAACTCAAATATAAAAATGTCTGCTGTAAAACTGCAGATTGTAAATATTTAAATTTTGTGTTTTCGTGGTAAATCGATTTGAATAATAAATCAAATATAAGTGAAATTTCCTGTAGTGCCTTCAGGAAAAATCGATTCTTGTTTCAGCTAATGAAGTAATCTGAATAATTTCCTTTGGGATGTGTTTTTTAAGGCAGAAGCTACATCGAGCTTTCTAAAACTTGCTTCTATTCCCTTCTATTTTCCACATTACGTCGTGCCGGTAGTTTTAAATAAATTTTTCGATTTTCTTCAGAAATAAAATCATACAAAAATAATAATAAGGTTTTATTTAAATATAAATATAAAATAAATAAAGATCGTAATCTTTTTATTCTTAGTTCTACAGTGAAATGATGGTTTTCAATATCTCTTGATTTTTTTTTTGTATTTTAATATGTATCTTGATTATAAAAAGTATAATAAGTGTTTCTCGAGCCACCCTACCTGTGAAGTGAAGTGACTTGAAAGTGAAAGCAAAAATCAGTGTAAATGGCAAGTAAACTATGTTATAGATGACTTAATATCAAGTTTAACTTAAAAAAACTCACAACTTCAACAAGTTGACAATTTTTCCAACATGCCTATCTTGAGAAGGGAATTGTTTTAAATTAGCTTCTCGGTCGAGAGGAACAAGTCATGCCGCTTTGAACCCGGCTTTTATGTTGTCATTTTTTGCCTCTGGTTGTACTAATGATTCTTTCAGTAGACCTGGAAATCTATTATTCCTTAAAAGTCCAGGTTGTATTTTCTTTAATTTCGTTAAAACACACCTCCATTTACCCTTTAGGTAAATGGAGGTCTGTTTTACCCTTTATTTACCATACTGAGCTTCTCTTTATTTTCGTTGATACCGTACTCGTTCAGATCTGCATTTTTACGATGATATGGTGTCTCTTTGCTGTACTCCTCGCTGTATACATAATTTTTTTTCTTGTTTAGATAGTCTTACGCTAGCTGTGGCATTTTGGTGGATGTATTTGATTATGTTAGTGAGCTTTAAACTATTCGGCATTATATGAATGCTTTTAATATTTTTTGCTGGATTATGATATCGAATGCTTTCTCATAGTCCACGAAAAGCGGTGCCAATGGTTTGTTTTATTTTGCAGAATTTTTTATCAGGTTCTTTATCACTAGTATGTAGTCGTTAGTGTAGTACCCTGATATAAATCCAGCTGGTTATATAGGCTGATAGAAGTTTAACTTGGCCTTTAGTCTTTTTTTGATAATTTTTGGGAAAATTTTGTATATGTATAAAAGCAAACTGACATAGAGGTAGTCTGTTGTAACTATATATGTATTCAAGATCTTTCAAAAACGTATCTCGCCACAAGATTCAGATAACCACATAATACGCAATCAAATAGACTTTATTCTTGTTAATCAACGTTTTAGAAATTCTATCAAAAATAACAAATATTATCCTTAAGCAGACTTTCTGTCCGATCATATCCTAGTAGTGTCAACCATACAATCTAAATTTAAAATAACAAATAAAAACAAAATTTATGGCGATATTTCATGTCTTGTTCACACAATAGCAACACTAACTTACCAAGAACGAAATTTCTGCTGCAATGAGCTTTAGAGCTTACAATCCAAGACCAAAAACGCAGAGCTTGTCAAAGAAAATTGACCCAATGCTATGAGATATCAACATGTATATTCAATTATAGAACTATCTCTCTTATATCCCATGCCAGCAAGATAATGCTACATATAATCAATGAGAGACTAAAAACATTCCTCCAAAGAGAAATTCCACAAGAGCAAACTGGATCTACCAAAGGTAGAGGCACTCGAGAACACCTGCTGAATATAAGACAGATAATCGAGAAATCTAGGGAATTTAACATCCCACTATACATCTGTTTTATAGATTACCGTAAAGCGTTCGACAGGGTCAAGTGGAGACACTTATGGCGAATACTAAAAGAAGTAGGCGTACCACAACATCTAATTACGCTTGTAACTAAACTATATGAACACACTACTGGATCAGTTAAAGTACTTGACACACTTTCGAAGGAGTTTCATCCAGAACGGGGTGTCTTAAAAGGATGTATACTATCTCCATAATTATTCAACATATATGAGGAGTATATTATGCGAAGAGCGCTTGAAGGATGGGAAAAGGGCATCTCAATAAATGGTCATAAACTAAACAACCTAAGTTTCGCAGATGACACAGCCCTTCTTGCAAATAGTCAAGCAGAGCTGATAGAACTTATACTACTGATCAAAAACGAAAGTCAAATATTTGGTCTGCAATTAAACATATCAAAGACAAAGATCATGATAGTGGATAGACTACACAACCATTATCCACACATAACCACAATTGACCGGTTCGAGGTAGTGAGCTCATACTTATATCTGGGATTATTAATCACAAACACAGGGTCATTACAAGAAGAGATTAAACGTAGATGTGATCTAGTAAAAGTTGCCATAGCAAAAATGACCAAAATATGGAAGGACTGTCAAATTTCAAGAGCGATAAAGAAGAGGTTGATCAACTGCTTAATATTCCCAATACTGACCTACGGATGTGAATCTTGGACTCTGAGACAATCGGAGAGAAAAAAGATAACCGCCACTAAAATGTTCTGTTGGAGACGAATGTTACGAATTTTTTGGACCGACCGTAGAACAAATAATTCAATTTTAAGAGAGCTAAAAGTTAGCCAACGACTCTCTAGTAAAGTCCATCTCCAACAATTAAAATATTTTGGGCATGTTATGAGAGCAAACACAGAAAACATGAAAAGACTCATAATACAAGGAAAGGTAGAAGGCCGAAGATCACGAGGAAAATCCCCAACAAGATGGATAGATCAAATTACAGGAATATGCCAAAGACCTATGCATGAATTTAAAGAAATTACCAGAGACAGAAATCTCTGGAGACGGACAATACACGACATCACGTCGACCACTACACTCCCCCTGGGGGGTCAGGATTAAAGAGAGAGAGAGATTCAATTGGAGCTTGCATGGTATAAGGGATCCACAGTGCTAGGAAAATGAAAACGGTGTAAGGAATGTCCCAGTAGTGCCAGTAAAACTAGGGAGTATTGCAAGATGTAGTTTAGATACTTATGTTTAAGTATTTGAAGCACAGATTTTATGTGGTCATGCAAAGATTCTGTTCACGGATTGTTTGAAACACAACGACCAAATAGAACCTTGAGGCTCAATATGAGCTAATTTGTCTTTGCTAAAATGTACGTGATAAATATTGTATGAGCGACATAAACAATAGTAAACAGGAAGTTAGTAGGGTTTGTTGATCCACATAAATTCAGCAAAATTTTCCAGCTTTCTCCCTTGTGTAGACTTGTACTGATTTAAAATCATCAGTCAGCGTTTTGGACATTAGACTTGTTCTTTTAATGTTCGTGGATTAAGATATTTTTTCATGGATTAAATAGCATAGCATATTCATTAATGTGATATTTTACTTACAGCTGTGTCTGGTCTGTCTGCAACTCTGCGAAATGTGATACCAATAATCATATTTTTACTTATCTAGACTTGTTTACATAAGGAGAACATCAAATCAGATTTTTTTAACGCATGCATCTGGTCACCTTCAATTCTGCTTATTGAATACCATTAGTCATGTTTTTTTATTACACTACAAAAACGAACAGATTTGTGACCTCAAAATACCCTCTAGACGAAATATTGTTAACACCAAGTAGGTGGTCTGATTCAAATGAGGAAAAAAGTATAGACAAAAAAATATAATTAATAATTGCAGATGTTTGCAAATGTTTCATCAGTTAGTCTGTATTAGCAGATGTGAAAAGGAAAAATCTGACCATTGTTATCAAATTTCGCTAAATTTCAGGTGACCAGATGCAGGCCTGGACATCTCCACAACATACCAAAGAAAAAATAGTGAGAAATCAAATAGACTACATTATGATAGCAAGGAGGTATAGTAATGGTGTTAAATGTACTAAGATGTACCCAGGAGCTGATATAGGCTCAGATCATAACCCGGTAGTTTCTGTGATAGAGGCGAGACCAAAAAAGATTAGAAGACCACACAGAAAGGCACTAGATTTAAAGAAACGAAAATATACGACAAAATCCTTAGAAACGAAATCCTGGAAGGTAAGAACATCGACACCAAAGACATACAAATAATATTAAATCTTTACTGGAATCAGCGAGCTAATATAAAAATAGAAGACCAAACATCGGACGAAATAGAAATACGTAGAGGAGTACGACAGGGTTGTATATTGTCACCGCTTTTGTTTAATATCTACAGCGAACAAATATGCCAAGAAGCAGATAATAAAAGCTTACTACTGGTGATAACATGTGCACCACAAGACCTCTTTTATTTCCTATTCCTATCATCTAACAATAACTTTAATTATAATAATATTGGAGTACACTTTCTAAAATCATATTTACAATATTATACAGCATGTTGAAACTAGGTATTTTTAGTTATAAATCATTCAATTTTCAATACGAGTAAATTTTTTACAATAAAGATCCTTTTGAGCATTATACATTTTTTGAACACCAAATAAAAAACTCTGATATGAATAAATAATACGTTAACAAGACACTCTTGCAAAATAATTCCACTTATTGGGTATCCATTACTATTCACATCAGCTTTAGAGTTGAGTCAACAAACCCTCAGCTCTCTCTCTTCTCGTTTTTGAATGATTGATTTTATCCGTTTCCAGGTCATATTGTGAGCGAATATTTAGAGACTGTCGTCTTCAAACTTGTTACGTTCAATCACCAGCTTATCCCGGCATCTATCCGAGAAATTTGCATTGTAGATACTACCTAAACACTCGACTGCCTTTTATCAAGCTCTACATTGAAAACGAAGAGTTCAACATCGATGGCCAGAGATGTGAAAATATTATGACTTGTCCGATGAGACCTATATCATCCGGTAAGTACACATAATAAGTTGTTCTTTATAGTATTTTTGTTTTTGTATAATAACAATTTAAAAAAATGCAAATTTTATATACAGGGTGAGTTTTAGAGCGATAATTTTTGATAATTTCAATATGGTACCTATATAATACCCAAAAAAAGTTATTTTGAAAAAATGTAAGCAATGGTATTGTAGGCAATGATCCAGGCTTGAAAAATATGCTGAATTCTACAGGATTGATAATAACTACGTGGTAGTAATTCTAACTGAACCTCCTGATCTACCTTAGTATAAAAACAAATTATTTAACATTTTACATTAAAATTTTGACCCATTTTTGTTTACAATAATTTGTCTTTTACCATTAATATCAATAACAAATGTTATTCCAAGAACTTTGTTTAATTATTCAGATGCAGAAAGTTGAAGGCAGTGTTATGCCTTTAAAAATAAAAGCTTTTATAGTAATATCTTTGACATGTGTAGCTTTTACTGTACCTCTACCCTGAATTCAATAGGATTATCAAGGCACCCATTTTTTAGTTCGTTAACACTCAGTGGTAAGCAGGTATATATTTATTTTTTTAATAGCACACAAATCCACTTCTTAATTATCATTTTTGCTGGTTACATCTGTTGGAAGTCCGAACTAGAAAAGATAGACTCGCCTTGTTGAGAAATTTATTATTTAGTACCGCTTGCAGCTTATCCGTGCCATTGAGGTATACCATGAGTGCCAATAGAGAGATAGGCGTACACCGTTATTACTTTTCGAAAGTAATATTCCTAATGCAATACGGCAACATTGTGAAAACTCACCCACAAATAACCATTAAAATCAGGTGCCTGATAGTGTTTCAAGAGCGTACCGTCGGATAACATCATGGTATCAGAACCAACGTGCAGTACATCTGTTAATAAACAAAATAAAAAAGGTGGTTTTCTGTGAGAGAAAAACAAATGATAAAATCGGTTTCTGAGGGATTGCATAGTAAAGAAATAACAAGATATAAGTAAGGCTTTTCATGAGCAAACGATGAACGAACATATCGACCTCTGCAAAGAATAACGTCGTAATCAGCGTTTATGATATTCTTCAGAAATGATAAAAAAAGCTGACAATTTCTTTGATTTCTTTTTTATATGTATGTTATATTTTTTCAGTGTAAGAAGTAAGTAGTTGTATAAATGTTGAACTCCTCTTTTAGAATAAGATCTACTTTTTTTTATTAAAGAATAGGTTTTTGAACTGTGGCAGTTACAGTTTTTGATATAAATATAAAGTTTCATCGAATAATCTTATAACTGCACTTACGATGTTCTCATCGGAAAAGTTAATATGAATTTCAAATTATTGCTCAGTGTAGGTTAAGGAATTATAACACTCGATAGTTTTTAAAATGCAAATTTTATTACAAACTAAATATAAATTCGTATTAAATTTAAAATGAACATATTTATTTTATGTCTAGTCTTCCATATCGCTGTCTTGATTAATGTTTTTGCAATCAACTGGGAGATTTTTAAAATAATCGTGGTAAGTGACAGTAATGCACTGGCTTCGACATAAACTCATCATCTAGATCATCATATTGTGCTTTTGTTATTTCTAGATAAGATGAATATGCTAGACGTAGATTCTTAGAAAGACCTTTACTAAAAGTTGCTAACCTTTTTTGTTTTCTGGAGATAAGTTTCTGTAGCAAGTTTAACTTAATTTTCTTATCGGATATGAAATCTTATTGAATATTCACCGCACCAGGATTTGTTTCAGAAATATTTATGTGTTTCACCATGTTCCAAACCATTTTTTCCTGTTCTTCATTTATATACCAATTTGGAAATGTTGTCATAAGTTTTTTAAAATCAAATATATTGTCTTTGTAATGTTCAGTTACCAAATACGGTTTACCTGTTGTTTTCGTACATCTTACTAAGCTTATTCATTGTTCGGGAATAAAAACTGTTTGATTCTTTGTACGTCGCTCTATTAAGGCATGCATGGAATCTTCCTCATTTTGATAATGACCTACCTCAAAATAATTGTGCATTATGTTTATAGAAAATTTTTCAACTGCAAAAGAATACATCCCAAATATTATTCTGTTTTTATTTTGTCCTCCGCAATTATCCCTACAAAATATAAAATTTTAAATCCTTTTAAAACATTAGTTGCAATGAAATTATAAACACTGCTACTTATTTCGTTAATACCCTTCCTTTCTCTGGTTTCGCATACTATAAACGCATAATTTTCGTTTATAGTAAAACATTGACAGTTCAGACTGAGGTGTGGTGAGAACTTTCCGCAAGTCATAACAAGCGTTTTAATTGAATTTTTAGCGATCTCTTTATCCCTTTCCCTAAGTTGTCTTACAACAGTCTTATTAGCAATATGGTTAGTGTCCTTCAGATCCATCTCTGCTTTTTCGTTTTCACATGCATTTCGGTAAACATGACAAAAGACACACTGGTTTTTTTGTTTAAAAAACTCGATGTTAAATTCACTGTTGAATATCTCACGGTATTGTCTTAATGTTGCAGTAGACGAGATAGGATGTTCTTTCTGCATCCACTCCGTATACTAATCAAAAAGTTTAGAAATAGTTAGTTTCACTTCAAAATATAATTTTGTTTTTTTTTCTAAGGTAATAAGGCTCTACTGCTGGAATAGATGATATGTGATTTCGAACAGTCTCTTTTATTTCTTCTGCTCCTCGTTGTGGCCGAGTGGTGTGTTTTCCACGCATATCTTCAACAATTATACCAACTTCACTCTCTGACATCTTTTTAGACATTTTCATCACCCAACTATCGGTTATATCAAATGTATTAAGAAACATTTTTTTACATACCACAATGTGGCTATTATTTATAGGCAATTAAAGTAGTATTTAAAATACCAGTTCTTGTGTGTCTAGTAACCAAACGACTAATATATTAGGTCTGAAGATGTGATCTCCCATTTTACAAAACTCTTTACAAAGTTGTTGCCTTGTTGTAATATTCAGTTTTTCTTGGCACTTTCGGATGAATTTGTCCATACAACCACCTTTAAGTTGTCGTTGTTTTATAAATTTACCTTTTTTATTTATAAATTGTTCTCCTTTGTTTTTCTTTTTTTTTTTTGTCTACGAATTACATCTTTCCATTCCGTTCTATTAGCTTTACGTTTTCATCCCCGTCTTATAATTTTTAAGCTAATACTTACGACTTGCCCTAATATGACGTTTAAATTGAACTGACTATAAATAGAGATGTCGATTTATTATTGTTCCGCCGGAGGTAATCACCCAAACCAGAATAATTGCGATGTAGAGTAGAACAAAACAATAAATTTACCAGATGATGAAGGAATATACTCCGAAACGCCGGGAAAACAAGCTTCTTCAATTTCACTTTGCTCAAAATCATCAAATATTTCATTTTGTTTCTCTAATGTTTTCTTAAAAGTTATTAGTTCATCTCCTAAAAATAAGATCAGAACAATAAAAAGAATATTTAATGTAGACCTAACTTAAACCACTTTATATAAGAACAAATTCTTTACCTGTATTTACAAATAAAGAACAACTTGCTTGTCCAAGTTCCAAGTCTTTATGTTCTTCTTGGGACCTTCTAAAAATTAACCTTGTTATCGTTATTTACTTTTAAAAAAATATAAAATACTAACTTGTTTGTTGCAACGATAACTATATCAGTGGAGAACTGCGTTGATGTCTGCTCATGATTTTTAGAAAGTAACACCTGCACTGTGTACTATTCAACTGCAAATTAAACACCAGAACCGGGAAACAATCAAGATCTGTCTTGTCTATTTCCCCCTACTATTCTCACAATAATGCCGCCAAATACTGACACACGACGTGTAGTATCTACCTGCATTATTATCGGAACTTAGCAGCCAATGCGACGGATAAAATTGTAACAACAGTTACGGTGTAGTTTTTTAAATATAATAATTATTTTGATACACTATGGTACGATACAGTATTTTTCGACGAAAATTTGATTTGATTCAACGGTCGTATGTGTAGTTACTCTGTTATTCTACAAATAATTCATTTTTTTTTATATTTACGGTATTATTCAATTCGGAATCTTTCTTAATAATGCAGTTACAGCCACACCGACCATGTTGGCAGATAGAACGTAAAAAGTTATCCAAGAAGAACACTAACTCAAAATCGCCAAAAATATTAGTTACAACGTTATTCTAAGCGGGGTTCGATATGGGTTATCATATTCCAGGTTAAACAAAAATTTAAAAACAAGTGACGTGAGACCTTTCATAAATAAGCTATTCAATTCTTGACATAGTTTATATAGTTTATGTATTTATGTATAAAATAAAAGCAAGACACTAATTTCGCTCTAATAACTAGAATATTTGTACACTTCAATAAACCTTTATTTTTTCACCACCCTTACAAGAGTTACATCAGAGGACATTAGCACCGTTTTTTACTTCGAAAGCATAAATAAACTCAAGCCAACAACATATACAAAGCTTCATGGTGTAAACACAGCGATAACAATAATTCCTATGTAATTCCGTTTCTTGCTTCTAGTGTCGAAAAGACCGAAGGAATTGCGGGCAATTTCCTTGAATCTTATTGCGTCTCAGTAAAGGCCTTATCAGGATTTCCTTCCAGTCAACATTCGAAAAAGTTTAAACGAATACGGACGCGTTAATTGAACCCTTGACGATAATTATCTAATATAATAATATAGACTGAGATAATAATATTCTTTATAATACAAACAAATAAACATGATAATTATTTATGTATTTATACAAAATCTAACCGACCTTAACGAATTTTAAACATTCCAATGGTGGGTTCTAATAAGCCACTTTTTCGATACATTTACGAAGAAACTGCATAATAAAAAACAATGAAACCAAAAGATTTATGGCCCTTTTAAGAGTTCCGAAAACAAATAAACATTACTGATCTAATTTTTGGTAGCCAAAAAACTTGAGTTATGTAATGAATTAACGAAGCGGT